AAAAAAAACGTCTCCCCGGGTCCTCCATATCAAATTATTGTCTGGTCGTGCCTATACCTGAATGTGTAGCGAACTTAGGAATACTTCTGTAGCGAAGAGTATGTATTTATATGAGTTTAATTAACAAGTAAACAACAAAAGGAGAATACAAGAGAGGGACAGTGGGGAGAGGATAGGACGAGAGGGCAGGTGGTAGCCTAGACAAAGGGTCGGGGCTACCCTGGTGGCTAAGATGACATCCGAGACCTCGACTTCATGAGGCGGCTCCCTTTACACCATGGTTTCTACCTCAGTATGATGAAACCTTGATAGATGGGATGACGAGGTGCGTCGGCGAGGCTGATGAAACCTTGGCGGCTCTCTCGAGCTGGCGCATGACTCAGCACAGCTGACCTATGACTCGACACTTTCCACGTTGAAACATGTCCTCTTCAACCCATACCAGCCTGTCTACTTGTTTCCACACGTCGTCAGACAAGAGTACTTCACTATTGGCATGGACAAAATCTGAATGAAAATAAAGACTATTTACTATGCTCTCTCCGGTGAAAATGTAGTTGGAGGGGGGCCACCCATCCGAAGGTCAGTATAACAAGAAATGAACTCAGTCTAACGTGTTAGTCCTCGTTATATCAGCACTGTATCGGATGCGTAGAGGATGACGGGAACCGACTACTTTAACTCTTTTATGTGGTTTTAGCTAAGAAAATTTAGTTTCCCAAATGAGCCTAGATAGGGTAGGACCACCTGGGTGGCTGGAATGATTACCTCATGCAAAGAAAAGAAGAGAAAAAGAAAGAAAACTTGCCCACCGCGGTGCTCCTTCCCTACGAAAGCCTTTATTTGAAAACTGGCATGTCCGTGATATAACACGGCATAACGCGTTTCATTGAGTTCATTTCTTGATACACTGACCTTCGGATGGTTGCCCCCCCCCCAACTACATTTTCACCCCCTCTCCTTTCTCTTTACCTATGGTCACGTCAGTAACATTGGGATTACTGTGCCCTAAGCGTGTCTGAACTGAGCGAAGGCTCACATACTATGGGCGCTGCATGCTCTCGAGTATAGACGTTTCTTACGGAAGTTCATTGCTATGTTCAAATGCTTTCAAGAATCTCGAGGAATAGTGGTTACTGATCTCATCTGGAATGTGATCAATCTCCACATGCGGCTTCCTATTGATCTCGGCTTCTTGTTGAAATAACTCTATTGGTATAACTCCACACGAGGTTCACAATACCTCAATGACTTACGTTAAGGCGAAACAGTCTCTTCGGAGCTTGGAAAGATGAAATCAAACTTATGGAACTTCACGATCAAACATCTCAATGCCTTACAAGACCAGATCAACTAGATCATCACACAATCCTACGTGATTAAATGTACCGTAGCTCTTCCACTGATGTAGTCGGCTCTCGACTTATCGTGAGCGACGTAGAATCGGCTGTCTTATGTTTAAAAGTTAAAGTCAGAGGCTGACCCAATCTAGAAGGTGAGTTGGCGCGCAATTGACAGGCTTCCCCCTGTGGTGATCGCGATCAATTACTCATGGGAATTGGGACATTATCTGAGGTGGGCGGAGTCGAGGTTGAAGGCGCAGTTCACGATGATTTTGGATAATTCAAATTATGACGAAAAATGGAGGATGAGATGGAAAATAGTATGATGAAGGCGAAGAAAGTGCGTGATTCAATATTTCCGAAGTGAAAAAGACTTTGAAGAAATCGTTAAAAAGGGACTGGATGAGAAAAAAAGAAAAAAAGACTGGAAAATTGACGATGCACCAAAATGTGTGAACGAGCTATACAATGGAAAATTGACGATGCACCAAAATGTGTGAACGAGCTATACAATATGAGTCAATGCGCACGTGTGAGTCCTGTAACAGCAAAATAGCCCACTTTTTTCAGCCTCTTGAAACAGAATATTAGAACAAGGATCGCCGCAGCAAAAAGAATCGCAGAGAGAATACTAGAAAAGGAAAACATCGCCTCATCACTAGGCGAACAGCTGGTTGCGTGTGAAGGTGTGGGTCTTGGCGCGAATGTTGCAATCTGCATCGCCTCGACACTTATCTGACTCATCACCGGTCGAGTGGTGGGGAATCCGGGCGATTCTGTAACGGGGCTCTATGCCCTAGCTGTTGAGTTTTGGGGTCCGACAGCGTCCTTCCTGTTACCCTAGGGGATCACTGAGTAATCCTCGGGGGGGAACCCAGAAACAATTTTTATCATGAACTGTGCCTTTAAGAATCTATGACTCAGTTCAAAAGCGATCTGCATTCCGAAAAAGCAGCATCTATCAGAGGGAAAGGTGTCGAGCCTTCATAGTGAGTGAGGTATTTTCATGTTTTCGGGAATGACAGCATAAATATTTATACCAATTGGTTATTGTCTTTGAAAACGATGTTGTACGTCTAGGAAACAAGGTAATTC